AAAGTAGTTAATGTTCTGGTTTAGAGACTTAAGGGGCAGTACTGAGTAGCTATGGTAATTATAGTGAGCTGTTTGTGAAGAGAATCCCACTCGTTTCACAGAGTCACCAAATATTCACTTGTTTATGTATGGCCATAGTTTCACACCTGGTCTGATAATTCAGCAACCTTAATGTGAAGTGTTACCAGAGTGTTTGGAAGCCATAAGGGGAGTCACATTTAAAGCCTGTAATGTGACATGGGACCCGCAGTTCATTTGTATCCCTGGTGACCTAGCCTTCCCGCTCTGCCAGCAGGTAGGACACGATCTCAGCATTCAGAGTAGTCTCACTGCTGTGGTTTTACCTCCCTGACGAATTCAGTTGTTCATTCAAGATATTAGTAATGCCTTTGAAAAATCCTCCTGTGTTGTCTTTTCTTTGTTTAAAGGAAATCTGTGCTGTCTTGCATTTATTTTCCTTCCTATCTCATCATTGCCTTTTGCACACATACATCATGTATGAAAAACATGTTTTATTACTGCTTTTATAATAATAATAGCAATAACTGAATTTCAATTTAATATCAGACTGAACTGGAGTAAGTGTCAGTCTGTGGCTGTGTTGGTATCACACGTGTCACTCAGATGAGAGCGTCGCTGCCGCAGGCACCGTGCAAACACAGCCAGAGAGATCTCCTGCTCCCGACGACACTGCACGGCAAAACTGAGAGCGTTCGCAAACAGGGCCTGAGCAATTTCTTTCACTACACTTCATTTGGCTGCCTCATTCTGCCTCCCAAAGATAACAGTGTACTCAAAATACTTCAATAAAAAGCTCAGGAGCTGCATGCCCGGATCGCTTAAACTTAGCTGGCAACTGCACCTCAGTGTGCACTGATGAGCGGAACTTGGAGTGAACTAGAAAACTCCAGCATAGTTAAGCGTAAGGGAGCTCTGCTTGCAGAGCAGGATAGCAACAGACAAAAATAATAAATCCCTAAATTACTTTCCTTGTCCCCACTTCACCTCCTTGCAGAGGGATGCTGTTCCTGGTAGCTAAAAAGCATGCATCATTCCCCTGCCCAAGAGCTGCACCTGGCTGCGGCGTGGCAATGCAGATTTTATATCATTATGTTACTATCCCAGAGGGCTGCAAATAATCTGGGTGCAAAAGCTGCTCATTAACTGCTAGTCCATGAAGTTTCAAAGAGAGTCTGTATAATGGAAGTCCTTCTCCCTTGATCTTTCTCAAACTCATGCTTCTGAATTCTTAAAAACACTTAGGAAGAGATTTTTGGTGCTGCAGTCCGTGAAACTGCTTCTGGTATTATTTGACTATGCAACCAGTTGCCCTAGAGTGTGTTCAGGAGATGGAGAAGTAACGAGCAGAGATAGCAGGTGTTATGAGCCCCTCTTCTTTCCCTGATACCTGCAGGGACCATCTAAAGCCCTACAGGAGTATTTCATACCAAGATCCAGTGAACAACAGCATCTAACAGATGCTTCATTCTCTGACAATCTCTGCTGAAGCAGACCAGAAGCATCCAATACTTATATTTCAATAGCAGATCAGAAAGTAGGAAGCTCAAAGAATCCCACCCAGCTCATATGCCTGGTAGTTCCAAATCAAGAGCAAAGTGGATCTTAACACACTTTGCAGGACACATACTAGCACTCACCTCAGTGTCATCCTGTAAAAAACCCAGAAAATAGTCAAGAAGTGTCAGCCACATCTGGCCCACAACAACACACTAGCAAAATTCTACATGAACGATGAGTTTTCAGTGCAACAAAGACTAATACTTCAGGGGACAATCCTGCTCTAATAGCATCAGGGGACACATGGGTTGTCAGGGCAAAGGTCCCACGTATCCTACCAGAACTCTGTTAACTCAAACTTCCCTGTCCAACTCAAAGATGTGTATGGTTGATGACTGTCAAATCTGACTTTGGCTTTACAATCAGGCTGAGGAATGCAACTGCATTTAAGGACTGAAATCGTGTCCTTTAGAACAAGAGAGAGATGTCTGGTAAAATCCAAGATGCTGTAAGAAATAATTAGGTGGCAGCAGTACAATCAGCTCAGCTTTGTGCCTGACCTGAAGTTCAGAAAATGGGAGAAAGGCTAGCATCTATGGTCTGACTGACTTCCAAAACAAACAACATCAGCAGCTCATATTACATGAATGTACCTACAATATTAGGTTTCATACAGTTCCCTTATCCCAACAACATACCATTTTCAGGAGTGATTATACATTTGGGAATACACATGGCGAAAATCAGACCATGACTGTGTAAAAAAACAAACCCTCGACCTTTATTTTTCACAATACATTTCAAGTACATGCAGAATGTATTTACATTTCTCTTTAAGGCAAACAGAAACTGGGTTCTTATTCCTGAGTTGCTTAGCACAGTAGAAATAGCAAATAAAAACCTAGGAAATGTGGTCTGTCCCTTTGAAGCAGCAGCTGCCTCCCATGCAAAGTATTTCTGCTTTCACCTTGCATTTGTTTGAGAGAGCTATTTATACTAATAACCTCTATTGCCGTTTGAAGCCATCTCTGCAGATTTCAGTCTCTTAGCAGAAACAACTTGCCAAGATGTTGCAAACTTTCCATGTCTGTTATTTTACCTTACAGACTGTTTGCTGACTAGACAGCACAGCACTACTTCTGTCTCTGCTGGCACATGCACCAAGGTCTTAGGTTATTTTGCGAGTTCTGTATTCCCCCAGTATCTAGAAAAATCTAACATTATCTTCTCGTGTCTTTCTCATGCAGGCTAGCTGCTTCTCCAATACTATGTCAAGTTTAAGAGAGGGAAAAGTTCACCTCAGCCAATGGAGATTTTTAGGGCTTGACTTTGCTAAAGCGCGGGGAAGTGAAAATGCCCGTTGAAGTGCTGGCATTTACGAAGAAAATGCAAAGCAGTTTTTCAATGAGAAAACATGCTCCCTTGAAGTTTAACATTTGAGCCATTTGCATTATCTCCAGACTTTCGACATTTGCTAGAATTTAGGAAGTTGAATTTCCATTTAAAATACAGAGGGAGCATTTTCAAAGACGTTTGTGACATTCTTCCATTGCCCTTCACTGGCTCTATCCAACCCACCGACTCCAGTAGGCACTTTTCTCCCATGACTTTTAAGAGGATCACAGGACATGATCCTAAAAGAGAAAACATCTGTTCAGTAAAAAATAAAGTTCCAGCTCCTGTTTTAACATAGAAGTGTAGTCCAAGCAGAAAGTCAATAGTGCAGAAAGGAGGGTGACTCTTAAGTGTGCCTTCCTCAGTGGTCTGTAGTGTGGAAAAATGTTTTGTTTCAAATTACATTATCTGCTTTTTTTTGCATACATCCCTTAACCTATAGTTTTTAACGACTTGTCAAATACATCAATAATTCAATGCTTCTTTTACCATCTAGTCTCTCTAGGTGCCCATCTCAGCTGATCAATTCTTATCACAATTTTTAAACAAACACTAATATTTGCAGGTGTTTAACATAAACATTCATTGAAAGAAACAGAACGACTGTACCTTGATTCAACTTCTGGTTTAAATTTATCATTACAGCAAAAAATCCCAAGTAATTCCTTACTACTTTTTCAGTTACTACCTGCTAAGATGAAATGTCTTTCTTCACAACTGTTTCACTTATTGGCAACACACTGCATTGGGAATAATCCACATTCAAATAGTCAACAGTAGAGAGACTGCCTTTAACAAGGACAAACAATCTCACAAAGAAATTCTTCACCAAAGGTTTGCCAACTTCTTTCTCCTACCTCAGAGATTATTACAAACTAAGCACCTAGGAAAATGCACTGAATGAACCCAGAGAGGGAGAGGAGCTCATGAAGTGTCCACCCAACATCCCGTCAGGCAGCTGACTCCCCCTGGGAAGACACCTCCCCACAGAAAGTCTGAGGGTTTCCCCTCAAGTAATACAAGTTCAAAAGGCTAAAAAAGGAACAGTTGTTACTCCGCACCTGGCAACACCTCTACACACTGTGAACAAATCAGTTTGCTGCAGGTATTCCCAACAAACAGCTGCAGCATATCATTTTTATCCTCATTTTCTTTTCCATAATGTGACTGCGTGCAGCTTTATTTCGAATATCAGCACCGCTGATTCTATAAGCAGTACGTCCTCTGAGAAGGTGAACTTTTTCAGTGATCATTTCAATACTAAGATGCTAGAGAGATTACAAAATTTTAGAAAGTCTTAAGAATTTCTCCCTGGAAATCCTTGAACCCTAGTCTGTTACACAAAGAGACTGCACTGTATTCAGAGGCAAATATTGTACCCCTTGACCGTGACTGTTTGTCTAGCAACTGTTCATCTAGTGCGCTTGTCAAATCTTGTCCTGCTACGCTGGTTACTTTGAAAAAGTCTAGGACATCGACACGTCTCTGCTTCTTGCCTTGTACCCAGATCTGTCACAAATGGCTGGAGCTCAGGTTCTCCTCCACTCACACAGGACTGGGGACATCAGCACTCATTCCGGCTGTGTCTCCATGACCCGCTGCACTAGCTGAGGTGGCAGAAGCTCGTTAGCCTTCCCAAGCATCTTACCGAGGTGAAATATTCCAGAGGAAGTCACACGGATAGTTCTTGCATTCAGGGCAGTTCAATAGCCTTGGAGAGCAGTCACGGCCCATCTCTGACGTGCTCTGTGTCTCAGCTTGCTTAGCATGGTAGCCTGTACTCTTCTGATCTCTGAAGATTTATCCCTACCGGCTCTTTCGAGGATGGCACCACGCCATCACAGTGTGAATCCTTTTGTGCCGAAGGAAGAAGTTGTAGGCAAGAATAAGATTCTGGACAGTTCTGAAATGCTACTTCCAAAGGCACCAACTTCCACATGCAGAGTAAAAGACATTGCTCTTTCTTACGGTGCAGATGAAACGGATTATATCCAGTTCATTTATAAAAGTTTTATACACCTGAAATATCACAAACATTTACAACTTTCCAGCTTGCTTCTGAGTTCTGAAAAGACAGCGTCATACAATTACACCGATGTCTCCTTTGACTCCAGTGTTTGTGGTGGCTTGAAGTTCAGTATCTCTTTGTACGTAATGCCTGGAAAACAACAGAATAAACATAGTGCTGCTGGTCTCGTCAGGAAAGGAGCTGCAGAGACACGAGCAAGGTGCAGCCTCCAGCGTGGTTAGGCTCTGATCTAGGTCAGGAAGAGAGAGACCTCTTCAGGCAAAAAAGAGAGAAAGAGTACAAAAAGTAAGGGAATCAAGGATCGTTTTCTCACCATTTCAGATTCAAAAAGTAGCCCAATACTGAAATGTTGTAGGTGCTTTCAAAGGGATGCAAGCATTGGCTTTACAGTATAGGGGGCAATATCCTCAGAAAGAGCTACTGAGCACATCCTTTGCAAGTCAAGTCCTCACTTAAAAGCCAAAATACAAACCTCTGATGTCAGATGAAAACTACAGATTCAGAATCACATCTCTGCTGATGCAGGTATGTTTTCTCTCCCTGAGAGAACCTAATTGGAAATTAAGGCCAGCAACAGTTGCAGTCCTATAGAGTCAACAGCTGAGGAATCTGTTCGCCTGTCCTATCCACTGGAAGGAACATGCTGCAGAAATGTTTTCTTTCCTACCCTGCAGAATATGGAGGACAGACAGATGAAGGAGGAGAAGGAAGGTGGAGAAAGAAGAAGGAAGGAGAAAAAGGAAGGAGGAGAGCCTTTGTTAGGAGGCAGAGAAGAAACCTTTGGGGATCGTTCCCGGAGGACTTGGTAAGAGGAACACTGGCTTCTCAATAGCGTTTCTCTATCTTAATAGTGTCTACTTACTCTGTTTCATCAAAAGCGCAGAAAGTAGTTTGTAAAGGGGAATATTACTATATCTGGATCGCCCTTCTATCTGGTCATTTTTGAAAACATCACAAAACTAAACTCACGCTTCCACTCATCTAGCGGAAGATCCATGTTATCAAATGTGTCGTCATATTTCTCAGCTTCAATGTCTTCCTCAGGATCGTGAATTGGTTCGAAGTAAGGATGCGTCAAAGCCTCAGCTGCTGTGACTCGCTTCTCTGCATCCAGCACCAGCATCTTCTCCAAAAGATTTACAGCTATTGAACAGAAAACAAACAATGCATTCAAATCACACCACTGATTCCAGCTTGCAGACAGTAATGTTGCCCTGGAGGCATTTCAAATAAATACACAGAGTTATAAAGCAGAATCATTTGGTGTTCATTCAATAGCCAATGACAGCCATGTCACCTCCGCCAATGACTTCTCTGCTCGAGAACCACTGTGCTTAGGGCTTTCCCAGCTGTCTTTCATCACTGTCACCACTGTGTCGTGGTTCTAAGGTACATCAGGACCTGACAGCAGCACAAAGAACAGGTGGCTGTAGAGCTAATGAGAATTGCTCCATGCATGACCAAATCCAAGCCCAAGTATGCTCTGAAGTTCACTAAGACAAGTCAGTTGTCCGTGCTCAGAATCTCAGCGCTGATTTTATCTGTTAGGTGTTTTTGACCTCAGCCAAAACAACTCATGAAAATCTTGTATGTTCCTCTCCAGGGCATTTTGGATCAGGTTCACTGTTTGACTGTCAAAATGGGCCACTGTAAAGAGATATGATGAATGATTTTTTTATTCTCTCTTTTTCTATCCTGGAAGAACGTTCCTGGGTTGGGTGGAGCAGCTGGAAGGAAGAAGAGGCAGCAGCATGGGACAGGATACTGCAGCTCCTGCTTGCCAAGTCGTGGATTCCCTCCAGCCTTCTCTCCCAGACCACGAGCAGTTAGCTGTTCTCTACATAAGGAGCAGCCAGATGGGCACAGAAGTGATAGGAAGAAACGCCCTAAAAACTAGATGGAAATGTGTAGAGCTTGCTGTAGCTGAGAAGGTCAGTCACCTAACCATGCACTCGGGGTAAGAGCTGCTTACTAATCATGTTTATTTCTACTGTATCTGAACATACGATTTGAACTTCTTAAATTGAGAAGATTCAATTATCCTAATTGCTATTCTAATAAAACTGGCTTTGTGAGTGTCCAGGTCATTGGGGAACGGATAAGGTTTGGGCAGAGCCCTCTCACAGCTCTGGCTGCCTCGGGTCATGTCACAGTTGTGCACACTTGGTATGCTCTTCTGGGTGTTTATCTCTACCAAATCCAAGCCAGTGCTTCTCAGGAATGCACAGATGTTTCTCAGGATGCATTAATTCCATCACTAAAATGGCAGCTTTCTATTTGCTTGCATTTCTACTGTCGGTCAGACTGAGCTTTCAGAATTATATTTCAATACAATACACAGAAGAATTTATTACGTATATTTAATTTCCCAGGGCTCTTGAGAAAGCTGCTCCAGTAAAACCATTAAGCAGAGGCTGGATCGGAGCCTAAAACACAAAATACTTCTTTTCTTGACTCTTCTAAGAAACATCTGATTCCTGGCAGGGTCTAAACTTGGCAAAGTTCAGCCACTAAAATCAAAGTTATGAATTACGGAAAGCGAGAGACAGAAAAGCATGAGAACCATCCCATAACATATTACATGACTGATACTGCTTCTGCCTCCAGTGCAAATACAAGAACAAAACAAATTGTACATATCCACACAAACTGTCTTACCCAAAGGATTCGCATACTTCAAGATGGATGCAAAATCTTTTTTCTGGACTTTTGGGAGGCTTTTGATATAGTTTTTTGCCTTAAAAGAAGCATGAATATTAAATTAGACCTTTGCTGCCTTTGTAATGTGACAACATTAACTATATGTTTAATAAGTAACTCAAAAATGCTTTGATAGCATGTTGTACAAATGGATTTTTGGGGGGTCATAAACCCTGATTATTTTCAATTTGTTGTTGAAAGGAACTTTTTTTAAAATCAAACCTTACAACTGTGATTAAGAAATGATAGTGTAAAGCTTTAATTATTAGTGCTAAATATTTGATATATTAATTAGAATAAACATGTATGCATAATTTGAAAGAATGTCATAGTGAGTTTACAGGAGTCTCTAGAAGTGAACCTTATACAGCAATTCATTAGTATTTAAATTGTATAGTTAGTCTAATGATTAATTTTCTGTTTTTTATAGTAGTGGCTTAAGGATTCTAGAAGGACATCCACACAAGAATAGGAAAGACAGAGACGTGTGCAGAGCAACTGGGTTTTCTGAATAGGTTCATGTTTTCAGCATGTTTTGAGTAAGTGTAGTAATGTATCAGCTCAACTGTACATGGTACACACTGGAAACTGTGCAGTATTTAAATACATAGATTTTTCAAGTGTCCCGATTGTGTTCTGTGCCCCCTTAATCTCCAGCAGCTACTCTGGGTGTGCAAAGCACTTCAAGGCAGAGATGTACCAGCAGGGTCATTTCAGTAGTCAATACATACTATACAGCCTAAGAACTGGGACAAATTAAGACATGTAAAACCAACTGACAAAGCAGAATACTCACATCTTGACTCTGCAGTTTTTGAACAAAATCTTGAGTTGGTGTACCCGTTATTTTCATTATTTCTGTGAGCTGGTCCAGATCTGAATACCAGAAATAAGGAACGAAGTCTTGTCTTTCACCATAAAACTAAACACCTTGCAAAAACTGTAAGTTTATTTGCTACTGGAGGATAAAGCAAAAATCATAATGCAAAGGACTGAACAGAAGATTTATAAAAGATAACATGACAGTTATCCATTTTTCTTGCAAAAGGCAAAGACACTGAAAGAACCTGAAATAAAATATCCTATAACTCAGGAACACATAACTGAATCACCTGCAAACTCCTCTAATATCATCAGGTCTCTTCTATATTTTTGGTTAAAATCAGTCCAAAAGTATTGGAGTATCTGAATAATCAACACATGTATTGCATGCATTGCCCTGGTCTATCCAATACTCAGGTGATGCAGAGGCAGGAAAAGTCACAGGGAACACCAGGTGGTACGATAAATGGAACAAAAGTCAGCGGAAACCAGTCTGTGCTAGCTCTTCTCCATACTGAAAATCTTCGAGGAAAAAAAATTAATCCCCCTCGTCCTCATTTCCCACATGCTTAGCTCAATTCCAGATGCTGAGATGTTAGAAACACTGGGGTAAGGCATCAGTACACTTCCTAGTTTTCTGTGTCCTAAACCAGCACAGATTAATCAGCAACAGTATTCGCTGTTGCAAAGAAGAAACACCGTATTCACAGGAGGCTAATGCTGCAGAGAACAGCTTTACTACTTGTTTGCTACTCTGGTAAGAGTAGCAGATGAGAAGCTAGAAGCTAGATCAGCGCTCGAGACACAAGGATTCTACCAGCCTGTGCAGAAAAAGTGGGTAATGTGGTGAAATAAAGAAATAAAGTCCCCCACCAAGTTTGCAGGATAACCTATTCATGTTACTAAACCAAGAATCCCTTAAGCTAGCTGTTTTTTTATTCACCTACCCGCAGCTGAACCCACAGCTGCATTTCGCTGACAACAGGTAATACTGATTAACATACTCGAAGAATACTGATTCATATACTCGAAGGCCAGCAAGGACTATTATGCTGGGGTAATTTCCTTCATAACACAGGACTTAGAACTTCAGCCAATAGTTATGACATCTCCAAAACCCAGTATGACTAAAATACTAGCTTTTCCACTCTTACTCTTGAAAATCATGACTCATTCATTTCCTTATTTATGTACTAGAATGCTCAAGGTTTGCATTAACTGAGAAATGCTGTGTTAGTCAATGGCTGTTCTTTGGCAGGCATTTTAGTATTTTCTTGTTATGAACTTATGCATACTTGAAATCTGTACAGCTGAAACAATTTGATGTATTCTACTTTTCCACAGTCCCCATCATTTTTTTGGTGAATGCAGTCTTCCTTTTTTTATGTTTTTCCTCACAAAACAAGAGCAATATGATCCATGCAATGAAGTCCTAATCTTACATGTAAGTAAGTAAATACAAATATAACTAAAATTAAACAATTGTGATTCTGTAAACAAGTATTTGCAGATAAGCAATTTATTGACTGGAACTCCACATGGGGAAAAGCAGTGCAAAATGCTTAGGCTGAGCTGTCAAACATACAAAGCTGGGAAAGAAAAAAAAAGGTAAAAAATTCTTGCTGTCTTTTATTACACCATCCTCTATTAACTATCACAACTACTACTGCCAATGAAGTATCACCTGAAGTTGTATTATGGCTTAATCTTACCTATATTCTTAATTACTCAGTAATGAAATGATGGGACTAGATGTCTTCGGTAAATCTAAAACGTTTGACTAGATATTACTTACATAACACTTCTTGCTAAGTCTCACAAAGCATGCAATGGACTGTCATGTGCACATAAGTCCATATACAACAGCAGAATCTTCTGTGCATGTGCTGGAGTTGTGGACTCTATTACCAAGAAAAAATCAAAATATGCCTTTTCTATCATCACAGAACCTTTTACCCGATGACTTGAGATGTGATTCAAAGATCATCTCTCTGCCTCTACTGAGAAAGTTCCGTAATACGAGTTTTAATATCCAGATGTGCAAGAGTGGTACAGGTATCAAATCACCAGTTAATGAGAAAGGTGCAAGCCATTTTACGATTCATTTCAATTTATGCTCATCTGTTTTTCAACAGACCTACTGTATCACATAAGAACCTCTCATCATTTTTGTACATTAGTGTCATAAATTCACTGAAGGATATGATCATTTCCTTTGAACAGAGGCCTCCCTGTTATCATCTCAGCCATTATACAGCCCACAGACCAGATGTCAACTGAAAAAAAGACCATCACATTAAATTGCTGAATACTTGTCCATTTAAATGTACATAAAGTTTAATTTAAAACATATTTTAAAGAAGTGTAAAACTTACCTTTGTAGCCTGTTACAAAACAAATGAGTGCCTTGCCAAGTATGATGAACAGTAGAGATAAAACTATCAGCTCTTCTAATTAGATAATTTCTAATCTGATAATACACAGAATCAGTTTCTTGTTAACAGGCAGATGCATGTGGGAAGTAAATTTTCAATGCCTTCAAAAACTTCCATAGTTACCCTAATGTTACTCGAATTCCCTCCTTCTGCCACTTTCCCCTGTCTGTTCGAGCTACGATCAGCACATCTTTGCAGGGAGATGACAGGCAGTGCAGAAGACAGGAACACAGACCAGACTGTCACATCTGTATACATTTATATTACTTTTTTCCAACCACCTTGGTACTTTCTGTTACTCTCAGAAAATACACAAAAAAGTCCCCAAACTCAAAACCACCAAAAGATTACCTGCAGTTTATCTACAAGGAATTTTTGCATAATTATACCATCATTTCCACCTCCAATTTCTCAGTCACTTCAAAGACTTGCTTTATATATTGCCTGATTCAGTGAATGCTTTAGCTCTATTAGCTCTATTACCACTTTTCTGAAGAGATGCTGACCTGTTTGCGTATAATGCATCCAGTTAAGTATCACCTCTGGGGCTCTGTACCACCTTGTAACCACATAACCAGTCATCTCACTGTCTGTATGCCTCGCCAATCCAAAATCCAGAATCTGTAGTGGAAGCACAAAGAACACCCTGATCAGATAGCTACTTATCTATTTTATACAGACTTTACAAATGTGGAAAATAAAACAACTGGAACAATCTGCAGAGATTAGTATATTTTTGCATCTTTTTCTCACTGAAACATCTTGTTCTCATTTGAAAAATCGAGACAGAAGTAGCAAGGGGCTTTACAATTTTTTTTCCAAGTTAGATACTCCTATAGCAACACTAAAAACTGTAAAACCATGCTACCGCATCAACTACAGAACAGCCCTTTGTAAAGAATGCAAGGTCAGGGCCAATTTTTTTTAAAGGATCATGCACAATTCAGCTTATTTCTAAGGTTCTGAGATATTTATCTCTAGATATAGCAATATGTACAGCAGCAAGATTGAAAATCAACGTTACGGCCTTCTGGCAACCTCTACAAAATTGGCCAAATAGGGCTCACCTGCATGGACCATCATCAAAAGTTGGTGCCAAAAGATGCGGCCAACAGCAAGAAAATGCCACTCCTGGAATGACAGTCAGTTCATATTTATCAGGAAGCAGGGGGCTTCGGTAAGTAATGTCTATTCAGACAAATCATCATCATCCACAGATAGCTGAATATGTAGCTTCGCATGAGCAGCCACTAGCTTCCATGCGTCTCAGGCTTCATATCTATATTGACAGGGCAGAAGTTTTTACCAGGAGCACCTGTGCATTACTATACCAAGGGTGATGTTTTTGTAATGCTCTCTGTAATGAAACATTTAAAAATATTTCAGGATAGTTTCATCATTCCCTGGCACTAAGAGAAAGGAAAATTATATTTTCATTCATAGATCAAGAGTATAAAATGCTATGGCTTATCTTTATTGCCATACCTGAAACATCATTTCCATGTTTTCCCCATGCCTGCTGATTACCTACCAATTTAAAAACAGGAATAGGATGCAAAGGGAGAGATTTTTATTCTTACCAGTAAAACGCACTAGATTACAGCCAATTTTTGGGGTACCGAAGATTTGCTGGACTCAAAATATTTTCAATAGCAAAATACACTTTCATATACAGCTTTCAAATTTATTCTACATATACAACACACATGATGTTTTCCCAGTAACACGGGACGGAGGGGGTGGAAGAAAAACAGAAGTTTTATGTAACAGGTCAAAAGCCACATGTGGTACCATCTCTTCTGGCACAGCTTTTTAGGCTTTTTCCATACTAAGGGTTGTGACACTTTGAGTTGGGAACAGCTAATCTATAAACTGGGCTTGTATTTTCATAAAAGCAGAAAAAGACAGCAAGAGTTTTTGTTATGTATTAACTTCAGGATTTATTTTCATTTATATATACATTGGGCTCAAGAACCAGTGTATCCTGCTAGTACTTAATATTAACTTGGTATCACTTCAACAACAACCTTTGCATGAAACTATTATTCTCATACTCCAATCTCCAACTTTTCAGCTGGAACTTCCAAAGCAATTTTCAGAGCAAGTTTGAAAATCCTTTTTATAATGCAGGAATTATGAAAGAGAGAGCAAATTCACCTCAGCTCCTCAAGGATAAGCTCCTCTTCTACTCAGCAAACTTAATTTTCCTAACTTGCTTCAATAACTGTAACAAAAATAACTTGTAACTTTGAGACTGCAGGAAGGGCAGTGACTTCCCCTCAGGCACCCTTCACTGTCACTCTTCTGATTCCTGTGTAGCAGTCGAGAGCATCAGACAACGGAGCCAGAAAGCTCGTTGTGAAAAAGAAAACTGATTGCTAATTAATTATCAATTCAAGGAACTGTTCCAACCTGCCTACAGCCTCATCGCCACCGGAGCTGCTGCAGGGGAAGCTGCTGAGGGCATGGCCGTGGGGGAAAAGGGTTGGACTATCCCTGGCAGCGTGGTCCGGTGCCCACATAAACTGACTTCGAAAGCGCACTCTCGGAGCGGGGCCATGTCCTGCCCGTGGCACCCGAGTGCTCTCACGCAGGGGGGGAAGTCAGCACAACCCCTCCCGTGTAAGAGGGAGCCCAGCTAAATCCCCGCCTTGGCATTTTTCACGCACGCTTCTCAACATGTTATAGTTTGCTTTCTGTTTATAGATGGGCTTTCTGTTTATAGACTGGTTGGCTGTTTGTAGACTGGTTGCCTTTTGACAACCAGAGTCACCTAACTGCAAATTTCCACTTGTCTTCTGCATGTGATATCAGAGCTTGCTGCACAACCAGGGACATCATAATTTTGCTCTAAGAGTCAAGAAACAAAAACTAAAGCTTACTGCTACATTTTCTCCTTGTCATTCACAAAATTGTGTTCTGATGTAGAATTATTTGCCTCAGTTTATCTAAAAGCTTAAAAATGTTCAAGGTAACAGAAAAATAAGTTGTGTTAAATAAGGAGATACAGCAATCATACCCTGAAAGTGTATCTTAGACCTGGGCTTGCATCTCAAAGTGTGATTGCACGGCTCGGGGGGTGGGGAAGAGAAACATGTACAACTGTTTTTTCCAGAATCTTTTTTTCCCCCATCACCCTGTGACCCACTCACCATTTGGCCACCTACAAGCCAGGAGGAGACAACACCTTTCTGTGCTAGATGGGGGAATTCTGAAATGACAGGACCCTGAACATTCAGGTCTCTCTCCAAATTGTATTACAACAGCTACATGCAAGTATATAGTTTGTATGTTGTACACTAAGAAACTTTTTTGCAGTGTTGCATTAACTTTTATTTTATTTATTTAAGCGAGTGCTTCACAACCTTTGATCTTCTTCTGTATGCTTCTAGAGTTAGACTTTTTATATTAATTCAACGCTGGAATTCTGACAGAACTGAACTACTCCCATAAAGTCTTACATCTCTTTTAGGGAGGAAACCTTGGCCATAAGATCTAAATGTACTTACGTATCAGCACACAAAAGCCCCCCATTCAAATTCACTGTTGTTTTGTGCGGATGCATAGGCCAGGCATGATTCTAGCACACGACAGTAGATGTAGCTTGATTTTGTAATTAACTGAAAAACCCTGACTAACCTTTCAGATTGCCAGAGCAAAGAGAAGTGATAAAAACAATTCTAAAAACTAATAAAAAATTAAAATACAAGAACAGAATTAACTAAGGACTGGAAACAGTCTGAGGCTAAACTACATTCCTAAAATAAGCAGTGTTGAGTACTACGTAATTCCACTTAGAATCATAGAATCATAGAAAGTTTTGAGTCGGAAGGGACCCCTAGAGGTCATCTAGTCTGACCCCCCCGCAGCGAGCAGGGACACCGCTAACTAGATCAGGTTGCTCAGAGCCCTGTCCAACCTGGTCTTGAATGTTTCCAGGGATGGGGCCTCCACTACCTCTCTGGGCAACCCGTTCCAGTGTTTCACAACCCT